CCTCTCACCTGTGTGTGAAGTTAACCCCAGCGATGGTAAGAGTAAGTACTCCGTTGTTATTTGTATTCAGCCTACCAGCCTTTGCCAGTCCGGTAGAAGTGTATTTATATATGACGATGAAGAAGCAGCGTACACCCTGCACTACAGCACCTGGCTTACCGTCCAATCACAGCTCACAGGCGACATGCGGCGCTACCAAGTCCCGCAGGTTTACGGCCAATCAGAGATTAGGAATCACAACCACGCGCCAGAGCCGTACCAGCGGTCCAATGAGGTGATAGGAACGATGTCTGGTGAGGGAAAAGCAGCCAATCAGAGCGGGAGAGTAATTCCTGGCGCGGTAGACACAACAGAGGGCAGCGCTGCGTGACCATGGCAACAGGCATCCATTCATACAGTCAGTGGGTTTGCTGTCCTGCCTTTTATAGCCTATAATTTTAATAATTTATAAAAATTATTTATAATTAATTTTATAATGATCAGTGATCAGGTACTAATAATGCAAGCACGTTATTCCAAAGAAATGTAATAAAACACATCAACAACCCTTTGTAATATAGTTCCCGAGTTATTTCAGTTCTTCTCATCTGTGAAATTTCATGCAAAGCTTTTGTGTAATTATCTGATGAGAGCCTACCGATCCGTGTTTTTTAAAAATTTACTAAAATTAAAGACATATGGTCTTTGTTATTATATTGTGTTTTATTGTCTTTATTTTATCTTTATTTAAAAATTTCTCATACTATACATATTTCCTGCCAAATTGGATTATTAAATAACATAATGCTGTTCACAGTAAGTTTGAGTACCTGAAAATACTTAAGTACAGAACTTGCATAAATTATTTTGTATTATGAAAAAATAACTCACTAAGACATTCTGACAGTTTTCTCTACAGTACACACTTTGTAGTTAGATTTGTCTTGACTTTGACCTTTTGTCCATATGCATCACATTCACATTGCACACATAAGATAACAGATAAATGAGGACACATAGCGCTTGTTTTACTCATTATACTACTCTTATTTAGTGTTGTTTCTCAGCAAACAGGTAACCTTTAATTTGCTGAAGGTTGTCAGAAGGTTATTTTTAACAACTTTTATATCACTGTGGGGTAAATTATACATCATACACATAATCATGATCTATTGCACATGCTTTTGTAATCTTGGATAATTCTTATTGTGATTGATTGAATATAATGTAATAATGTTTATTTCCGATTAAGTTTAACTATTAAGATTATTGTAATTGTAACCTTTACTCGAGTGAACTTTAGTGCTACTTTGAAATAAAAATATACATTTGGATAGGTCATAAAGTAAGCTTGAAATGCTTGAAACAATGGTGGCTCATTTGCTCAACAGTCAAGGTCAGGACAGATAGTGACACAGCCCTGAATAGGCTAGAGGGATAAGATAAGACCCTTTGAGGTATAAAAAGGGTGATCTCGCGATCTCTTTGTGTGCACATTATGAATTATACTTTTTTTGGTAAGCGATTTTAGTCTTGTTCCTCTGTTGAGTGGAATTGCAGAACTGCCACAATAATAAAACACTGTAAAAAATGTCTGTAGTTTCGATGGTGAAAAATTGTCCAACCATGACAGTAAAAGAC